GCGTTAATTCAAAACATTAATTCATTAATGCATTTAATTTAACCCTACAAAAAATTCGAACTGTCTCAATAATTACTTAATTAATTTTAATCAGAATCGTTCATTGTTTTATATTCTACTCAAATATCAATATAGTTTCTCATTGACGATGGATGTATTAAAAATAACGCATAATAATATGTACGTAATAGGTTCCTGAAACTATTTGGATAACAATATTATGTTATAAAATAGGTTATGTATCTTATAACCTCGACATCACATCATTCGCAGACAATTTCTCTAACATTAGAGGGAATGATAAGGAGTATTCAGTTCGTTATACGTATAGCCGTCACTTAACTTCCAGATACTCGAAGTATTGAGATGTGAATCTTAATTAAAGTTAACGTCGTTATTCATTTACCAAGATTCTCTCGAGGCGGCGAGCACAATGCATTGTTACTCGAGATGTTCTAACAGCCCTTGAAAGGAAGGGCAGGTCTTTTGAAGCTTCGTCTGTTGTCAACGAACAGTTCTCATTATACAAAAAATGGTACTAGTGGCGCGAGATTTCAGAATAGCTCTAAAGCCAGTCTCTTAATTGATTCTGTGACACAATGTGATTCCACAATAGTGCGCTCTACTATAGAGTTGCGTGAAATACGTAAAAATTGTTTATGAGAGATTGTCACGTTACGGGTAATGAGTATTTTTAGATTTTTGGAGTAAAAATGCTCTTAACAATGACTACCACGGAAAGCGTTCAAACCGAAACATTAAGCATTACATTATATGTATATAATCGTAGGTATTCTGTATCTCAAAATAATGCATTTTATGAAACGCTGAGGCTTTACGAAATGATTTGACGAAACGTAAAAAGTACAAAGTAGTGAAGTTTTACATTATGACATATTTCTGTGTTTTATTACACGTCTCGGTGTTTTACAAATATCGTACCTATGGACGCTTAGTCTCATTTCGAAATGGTGCCATTCTCAAGGGTTATTTTGCAGTAAACCTGCGCTGAAAATTTAAAACAAACCAACCCTTGCCTAATCTAACATAGTAAAAAAATATTAGAAGTAGCTTTTGTTTCAAAAAGGCAAAAATCACTCTTAAAAAGTTTTTACTACGTTAGATTAGAGTAGACTAGGGTTACGTTAGACTAGACTATTTGCATTTTCGTTTTTCATCCCCTATGTCTCCACCACACCCACTGTCAATGTCAAGTATTTTACAAGGTTATCCCCAGAGCTTAGATATAGTCCTTTTGACATTGAAAAAGTGAAAATCATGTTTTTAATAGGTACGGCTTCAGGCAGATGATGTCCGGTCTCTGTAATGCATTACTGTACTCGCTCCCTTCAACAGGTCGATATTGATTTACTTGTAATTGCTTCTTCAGTTCTTGTAGATTTTGAGGTTTATCGACGTATACCTTGCAGGTCAGGGCTAATCGTCAAGACGGGAAATTACCTGTCATGGAAAAATTCAACACGCCACTTTCATTTGAAGTTCTGGCTGCATCATCCATCCTGTTGGAACGAAACGTTTAGTGTGTTCATTTTTCGACGACTCAATTTTGCAATCAAAACGTTTTTAAAACGATGGCTTTCTGTGAGCGTTATTGCAGTTCACAGGGTTTTTTTTGTTGCTCAATATCACCAATTGTGTTTATTAATAGAACAGCTCAAATGAAAATGAGTATCATGGCACATCATTATTAATAGTTCATTTTCCAATAATATTCCTTCTATAAATCAACAACTGTCAAAGACATAGAAATTATGTTCTATGATAAGAGCTATATATATACACGTATATATCAGAAGCATTAATGTGAAAATTTGGCCATGTCCTCATCTGATGTAAAGACTAATGTCCGCTACATTCCAATCTACCTAACCTAAGTATTACAGTTAAGTCAATAATTAGAGACCTGCCCTCTCGACTCTAATTTATTAGAAAACTTTTTTCTTACGACAAAATTTGTTTAAAGACCGAGAAGAACATTACTGTAAGTCCCTTTATGGTTATTATTTAAAATACGGCCCATCTCGACAGTATAAGCTTCTAAAAATCTCTGTCACGTTTTCAAAACATTCATTAAAAGTTTTCCCCTTTACAATTACTTAAAGAAAGCTAATGCATTCAAATGACGTCGTTGAAGTATTAATGAATGATTGGTACAGGTAACGAAAGCACAGTCTGTACGTAATTGTAGTTTCATTCGCATCTCGAGAGGCACTTTACATTCGCCAATAATCTGGAGGTAACGGGTAAATGTTCTTCAAAAGCTTTTAAAAGGAATTTTCTTTCAAATTGCTAAACTGCCAACTTTTGACAAATTTAGCGTACCTACCAATACCTACTCGTTCTGTTTAGTAGTGAGTAACGTACGAAGATGTAGAAGGGACATTTGATTATATATTTTTCGTTAGAAAAATTATTAATTTCGTATCACGCAGCACAAAATTATTTTTTTGTTATTAATCGGGGAATAATTATTCCTGTGTTACGTTCTGCATAATAATGAAATTCGATAGATAATCAAATTGCATTAAAAAGTTTTGTGTCTTTTGAAAACTGTACGACGTAATAAAAATCAAAATCTCAGTTGGTACTTAATTTGTCACAACCACCATAGAAAGCAATTTCTCATCAAAGCTTCGAAGGTATTAAAAGTAACCTGTCAATCCCAGAACAAAGAGGGCTATGAATACGGAAGAAGCAACTTTTACGACCACAGATGTAGCTTTGCTGTCTCTTTCAAATTATAAATTGAATTTTCTTCTCCAATTACTCTTGATGAGTAGTGAAGTTGCACTACTTCAAGTATAGTAAATCGCTTAGATTCTATCCACTGCAGATGCCATCTGATAGGAAGTCTTTTAAAGTGGATAATCTTTATAAAATTAAATTAATGGTATTAATAAAATGACGTTCATATCTAACTTCTTCGTACCTATAGAGGTATATTCATTCGCTAATCAATTACTGTTTCCTTTAAAACATATTACAAGAGAGCGGCTCATTTCTCAACTTATTTAAGATCCCCTTCTTCACACTCTATACGAAGATTGGAAAAACTTTGGCGGTTGTTGTAGAACACACAAAATAGCTCAAAACGCCAATACCAAAACACGACACTGTAGGAGTCCGAATCACTTTTCGGTAACAAGGTTACCTTCTTCAGGAACTGTTGGGGTTTTGAACAGTTCACTTCAGTCCCTGAAGAAGGTAACCTTGTTACCGAAAAGTGATTCGGACAACTAAAGTGTCGTGTTTTGGTGTTGGGGTTTTGAGCTATATTTTGTTTGTTCTTCTTCACACTCCTAAAACTAATTCACTCCTCTTCCCTAAACAAAAAAATATATATTATAGATTCCCTTGATACAGACCAATGATTAGATATACAATTATGTGAAAGTAATAGCTATTTTAGACAAAGAGGTTTTTATTAAAATCAATGTTAATAACGAAGTTTTGGTTGTTGCTTTGGTTCATACATCGAATATATTCCTCATAAAACTCAATCTGATGATCGTTGGTGTGCAGAGCGGTCGAAAATCTCATCGATGTATATACAAATATGATAATGCTAAGTTAGCAATTTTTGATAAATACAATCTCAATGGCATTAAATGGAATCTATAAGATTTTCGTTACTGAAGAATGGATTACGTTCCTCCAATCTTAACAGAGTGTGCTTATGAAATTAAAGATTCATTTTCCTTCGATTCGATTCTGATACTCTTTTCAAGGTTGATGTTCATCACCCATCATAATGCTTCAGATTTAAGTTGTACATTATCAAGCTCTGAATAATCATCTGGGTAGTATTGCATTGACTGATGTTATTTCATCTAAGGAATTAGACTGTTATAGGTTTTATTCAAAATTAAGATTCAATTTACTTCTTCTTTATAATCTTCCTAAACGTTTTAACTCTGTTTTAGTGTTCTTTAAGGGTTGACCGCTTTCCTGATCTTTACAACAGATTTTACACATACGTCTCGCCTGTTTTTAAGTGTGGGAACAGATCTGAGATAAATAATTATCGCCCGTAACAATTCCAGCTTCGATTGCCTAGGTATTTTTCTCATTAAGTCGATGAACAGCATAAATTTTTTAGAAAAAAGTATGTTCAGGCTAATTTGTTCTTTCTTTCTCGGTTCGTTTTTGAGACTTTGAATTAGAGTGAAGTAGAACAAGTTGACTCCGTGCACTTAGAGATTTCCAAAAAGTCCGATTAAGTAAATTATTCCAGACTCGTTGACAAACTTTGGGTTTACTGAATCGGTGGTTCTTTGGTCAAGTGGATAGAGTTTTATTCAATAAATAGGTTCTTTAGAAATAGTTTTAACAACAGTTCTTCTCGAGAAACAAATGCATCATACGGAGTTTGCCAGGGTAGTCACCTTGGACCACTCCTCTTCCATACTTGTACTAATGAATTACGATCATGTATTAGACATTCTAAGACACTTTTCTGTGCCGACGACACTACATTTTTTTGTTCAATTAAAAGCATTCTTGATTGTCGAGAGTTACAGATGTATTTAAATTCTATTGTCTCATAAATACAAGATTGTCTCGTTCTCTGGCGTCCGCTGTTGTATTTTATATGAATATTCAAGTAGCTGACGGCTTACCTCGCTCTCATATCTTTCTGTAATATTTAGTAGTTTTATTTTAAATTTAAAGTATAGTATAGTATAAAATGGGCTTGGGTTTATGGGAATTCAAAAACTGATCAATGTAAAACAAAGCTAAAGGATTTTTAAATTTAGATTAGTATTTCTAAAAACTTCCTCAAGCTTATAAAGTCATAGCTCTAGATTTTTAGGTTTCTAATGCAATTTTGAAATACCTACCTTCAAATAAATTACTCAGTTGGATATTCACTTCAAAACTAATCCGAAGTTTTCAAAACCCTCTTTTTCATTGGAGAACTTACTTGCTTATTATATAAGTACCTAGCTTTCAATGTTGTATGTTCATTCTTGTTCCAGGTACACAACAAGGTCCACATGAAAAGAGACTACTAAATAACTTATTGGCACCATACAACGTATTGGAAAGGCCCGTCGCGAATGAGTCAGAAGCTCTGGAAGTCAGATTCGGCCTAACGCTTCAGCAAATTATCGACGTGGTAAGTGAAAATCTTCCCAAAACTGAGAACCAGTTGTAATTTTTGCCTTTGGAAGACTTGTAAGTTTAAACTTAGGAACTACAATCGGTTCCGTATTCGAAAAAAAAAAAAGGAATTTGGAACCAATGTTATAGAGATTATCCTGAATATTTCATAACGTCACATATTTGACAAATTAGAAGGTTATCCACAAATGAATGTAAACGTGAGTAACTTCGTCGCAGTTTCGCAGTTACATGAAAACTTTAGATGTTGGCTTCTGACAGAGACATGTTTCTGAATGTAGATATGCCTGTTAGTTTGATATATTCACATACAGAGGAAAGCTCCTTAATTTGGACCGTATTTTGGCCTCTCTTGACTAATAATTGTAACTAATAATATGTTATTTAGCAGCAGAACGGTGGCTCCAATTAGTAGAATTTGTATTAGTTTTAGAATCATACATGTCATATTTTTGTGTTAACCGGTGTAATTTTACTCTTAGTTTCTCTAAGCTGTATTTTTCTTCTGGTGGGTATTTTTGTTGTTGTGTTTCATCTAAGTGCATTTTATACAAGATATTGTCTATCGTCTTAACACATATTTTAGGTTTCTGATATTTACAACAGCAATATTTAAAGGTGAAAATTTTAAGTAAGATTATAGTTTCTTAAATTGAACCACTCGCTAGTTCCTAAATTTCACTGGCTTATTCACAATGATAATGCTTTTCGTCCGTACTTCTTTAAGGAAGTATATACCTACAAATGACACCTACAGTTCAAAGTCATATCACTGCTAGCTATCAATTTTATGACAAGTGGAATCATTCTTTTCTTACAATTAGAAAGGAAATTGGAAGAAGTTTCTACTTTCTTGATTAATTTTATATCTGCAAGAAATCCATAAAGAATTAAATGACTTTTCTTATTTGGACGCCATGTATATATATCTTTTCATTGTTATTACGAACTGTTGCAAAACAATTTAGTTCACAAGTCTTTTATTCTATATATTTATGAGCAGGTTCCTACACGTTTGTAGTGTCTTTCAGATACTTCTCATCGTTCTCTAGAAACGAATAAAAGAAGATATTGCCGGAGGTAGGAAGCATCGATCGTACCTGGCTTCATGCACGTAACAATATTTATAAAAATATTTGCATAGTTTGCAGTACGGAGATTTCAAATGATATTATGTGCTATTTCTCAGAGAAAATGAAAATGTTCCAATGTCAGAAGCAAGTAATGTTGAAAAAGGTTTAAAACTTGTATTTTCAAAGTAAGAGTTCTTCGAATTTCTCGTACGGGTAGCGGATGGAATATTGCTACAATTTCGTCTACGGAAAAATAGTATTTGTCAAGAATATAAATGAAAAGAGTAGCTTAGGTCTCGTAAAGGAAGTAAAAGTAATTAAGGGAATGAGTCGATATAAAAATAGAAGACGGGAAGTTAGAAGAAGTCGCTGACATTAGGAAGTCGTATAACTCAGGGCGGAAGGAGCTGTGGAGATAAAACAAAGGATAAGACACGGTCGAGTTGGTTTCAACAAAAAGAAATCACTTCTATATTCACGAAAAGCTAATTCAGGAATTCGGAAAACATTGTTAAAGTTATATGTTTGAAACACGGCCCCGTATAGCTTCGGAACGTGGATGTGGGTATACAGACGGGTGATGGAAATACCATGCATACAAAAGGTAAAAAAGGCGAAGACCATCAGGAAAACTAAGAGCGCAATGGCAGGCAGTAAGGAAAAGAAGGGATAGAATGACAGGGAATCATGAAGGGCTTCTTAGAAACATATTAGAAACAGGAACAGGAGTAAAGACAAGCAGAGGTAGACCTTGCTAGGTCTTACTCTTCACAAATAGGGATGTGAAATGTTTAGATTGACTTAGGATACAAAAGAGTAGATGTGCTTTACTACCAAAAGTGCTGAATGGATCTTTCAATTCAGAAAAGTAACTAAATGATATGTAAACAACGTAACTGTTAACTACTAGAACCTAAAGTCGTACTGCAGTTGAATCTACGTAGTCACACATATACACTACGTGAACTGTGATATAAAAATGTGCTACTCATTGAACAAACGACTCCATCGGTAGACTCATCGGAGAATCATCGAGCCCGAATAATGAGTCCTCTTTAGATAACGCCGGCCGTGAAAACCTTAGCTTTTTCTTTCTTTAGGTAAATTTTCCCGTTCATCAAATGCCACCTGAAATGAAGAAGAACCGACATTTTCAATTTATTCAATTCACCTATATTCTAAATTCCAATATTCTGCATAATTTCAATACTTCTTTTTAAATTATGACGAATTACACGAATTTACGAAAACATAGAATTACATATTTCAATAGACAAAGAAGTGCTGCAAAAAATTGTATGGTGTATTTATCAGCATGCCTTAGCTATTATTTATTATTGTCTGCTAACCCTGGGATTTTTATTGGAATAGTGCTCAAATTCGAAACCTTGAAATGGTTATCAATAACAGTGTCAAGTTTGTATCGGATATAATCCTCGATAATTGCAAATTGCAACAAGTAATCAAATTTTCGAACCGCGGAGAAAATCAATGATGCAGCAAATATTTTATGGCGATTGGGAGGTGGTTAATTATTCAGTTCAATTAAACCTATTCAGCGACTCATTTTAATGATACGATTTGGTTCACTTACTAGGTTATTGTGGTAAAATTCTTGTTTAAAATCCACTCAATCAGATTGCTCTAAATATTTCAATGTCACCAAAAACAGTTGAATTTGATATGCATACCTAATAACAGCAGAACTCGTGTTACCATTGAAAAATATAGCAACACGGAAATATAATAAAAGAGATCCATGCAGTTCAGTACGTACCAGTCAACGTTGTTTAATGAAAATCATTAAACTGATTACGACCGAATTGCCTAAACTGTATCATTTTATACCGATAAAAAAATTGTTGATAATGCTATGTCTGACTTAAACCTCCAGATTATTTTAAAAATGATGGTAGATGAAAAGTTCATCATTTGATGTTAGTTGTTCGATAAAAAGTGAATTAAGAGCTTTAGTCGGGTATAACAGATAATCCGTCGGTCTATATTTGAGGATTTTATTGTTTCTAAGAAGAATTGAAAGCTTTACTGAATTAGATTACGAATTACATCAACACAACAAAAGCTATAAAGTAACGAATAGAATTTTCTTGTAATATATGTCGTAGGCATATTTTCATCATATATGCAAGTGTAACTCTTGGTCAAATGCTACCAGTCAACTTTTCTTTTCAATGTTTGTTTATTATAGTTTTACTAATTGCGTTCCTAATAATAAATTTATAGTCCGAAGAATGCTGTCGTTAGGCTGCTTAAGATCATATGATTACGGTAGGAAAGACAACACTCACGAAGTTTTACAAAACGAATATGGGCACCAGATATTGTTCCAACGTTTTTTCCAATCTTCTAAGTACTTTAAAAAATCGCATTTTGTGACCTTCTTCAGTTTCTCCTTTGGTGCCGTCTTTATCTCCTCAATCGTAGCGTATCGTCGTCGTTTCATGGGCCTCTGAAGTTTCGGGAACAAGAAAAAGTCAAAGGGGGCCAAATGTGGGGAATATGGTGGCTGCGGCATTATTAATGTGTTGTTTTTGACCAAAAATTCGTACACAAACAACGATGTGTAAGCTTGGGCGTTATCATGGTGCAAAAGCCATTTTTTCTTCTTCCACAAATCCATACTCTTAGGTAATAATCCTTATTGACCATTCTATCCTGTGACAAGAATTCAAGGTACACCACTGCCCTGCAATCGAAGAAAACTGTAAGCAAGACCTTCATTTTCAACCTACGTTCGCGCGCTTTTTTTCGGTTTTGACTATGATTCGTCACTAGTTATGACCCTCTGGAGCAAATTTGGATCGTCGCGGACAGCTCGTTAGCAATGTTAATGTGATGCTGTTTTTGGTAGAAATTGAGCAATTTTGGTACGAGTTTCGCGGCGACTCGTCTCATACCCAAATCATTGGTAAAAATCGATTGGCAGGAGCCAATCGATATGTTTAGGTCCACAGCAACTTCTCTGACTGTGATTGGACGATTGGCAAATACTATTTTCTTCACTTCATCAATGTTGTTGACGTACTCGGGCGTCCTACATGCTCTTCGTCGTTCATATCTTCTCGGCCCTCAGAAAATTTTGTACCACCAATAAACGTTGCTTCGGTCCAAAGTAGCTTTACCATACGCCACAGTCAACATTGGGAATGCGTCCGTGCACTTAATTTTGTTTGTCACACAAAGTTTGATACAGATTCTTTGATCCATTTTTTGGAATAGGGAAACATCGAAGACGAGCCGAAACACGTGCAAGCAAGGCAGCTGTCAAAAATTAACTGAACATTCAACAAGGCCGAAGACATGAGTACCAGCATAACGCTACAAAAAAATTGAAAATGGAATATATATAACTCCCGGAAATTCAAAATTTGCGATACTTTTTGAACAGATCTCCTATAACAATTACATATTCGAATTTCCTATTTGATGATTACCTGCTATAAATCTACGATCTTCTAAGTAAATTATCTATAGTACTTAATTTTAGTAATGGTTAGTGATTAGACTTAGGTTCGATCAATTTGATAACTTGTGAGTGGTTTTACGTAGTACATCGTTGTGTGGGTATCAACCAAGGTTGTTAATATCAAATTTTATTGAAACATTTATTACACAGAAGACTAAGGCATTTGATTATGCGTAATCTTCTGTGGTTAATGGAACTTTTTTTTCTTAGTAGAACTGAACTATTCTCTAAGACACAAAATGAGTGAATGTGCTAAATACAAATTGTGAATATAAATTGTGACTTTAAAAGGAGTTCAAAATAACTTCGAAGAATTGTAGCTTCAATTGGATAGCCTTTTTTAGCATTTCATATCTTCCCATTTGACAAATAAGTATTCTCCTTATCCAGATACTCACTGTCGGCCTTAAAACAGTCATTTAAATACAGCTACGAACTCATTGTGAAGTCTATATAAAGGAGTTTCAATATCTGATTTGTAGAAGATGTTATTGGTATGTTTTCTTTTACTTATTATTACTCATGAAATTTAGTCACTCCCCCTTAGATTTTACCCACCTGCTTTATAATAATAATCAAAACCATTATTATATTTACAATACACCTTTTACATAGACTTCGAATTCTGAGGAGTTTGTTCTACGTCAAGTTTTCTATTATAGTGGTTTGATCCTTAATCGCACGGGACATCTTCAGGTTTATTCGGCTTTTCACTGATGATCTTTATTTAATCTAGAAAAACGTTAATAATAGACATTTTGACGCGGTACAAACCCAGGATCCTGAGTTTTACAGTAAACAATACCCAAGGAAGCCTACGAAATTTTATATCTTTCGCTTGTTAAAATAAGAAAGAAAAAAACTGAAATTGACGTTACATACGATACGTTTACAAAAATTAATACAATAATAAACAGTAAATATTTTTAATTAACACTCAAATAACTTGCCGTCATGGAATATACTAAATATTCTAAAATACTGATTTGTTTTAGGACGAAAAGAACCAGATCCTTACTACCAATGCATGGTTAAATTTGGTAAGTGAATTATACTTTTGTATGTGAATATTATTTGTAGAAGAAACGGTACCGCTTTACTGGTCTTTCGAAATTAATTGAAGTCAACATATCGCAATTTTATTGTCACAAGAGGTACCGTTTTGTTCTACGTTGTATGGCTCTGGACGTATAGATCCCTCGAGGGGTTGGTAGTGCCATGTTAAGTTGTCGTCTACACATTGCCTATCTACCCTTCGTAACCAATCGGCCGTACCAGTAAAATTTTTGTTATCGTGGTTTAAAAACTATTAATTGCTGTAAGAACTTGTTGTAAGTACTTTCGATTGGAATATACAATGAACTGAATATATTCTTCAGTAAGACTACTTTCTGAAAAATGGTAGATGAATTCATGATATAATATAAAGTTTAACTAAATATTGCACCGTATAAATTTAAATGGTTTGTGTTATCTACATTTTTTTAATGACTTTAAATATTTCATTTCCAACATACATGATAGTATCAGTCGACGTGTGACTGGGGGGTAGCAACTAACTCATAGCATTTTTTGTAGTCTGATAAACAATAATTATAGATAGTAAAACGTGAAGTAAGGGCTACTAAATATTTATGGAAACATTTTTAACGTCTATCGTATAAACACATTCAAATTAATTGTAAAAAAGCTAATACCTACTAACACTTTTGTAAAATATTCAGCTCTTTTTTGTAGAATTTTTAATGCTAAATATAACATTTTAGGCATGTGTTTTCTGAAATGTGGTACGCGAATCCCCTGGGGGTCAAAAACAGTACGGTGGGGGTACGCGTTGTACCGGACATTGACTACGCCTGCTGCACAAGCAGTTTACCTTGTTCCATCACAAACATTAAAAAATAAGAAAAGCTTCGTCAGAGCTTTTTAGAAATCTCATAACCCTTTACATGAGCAAGAAACATATATTATTGCATTACTATTGCAATTGATTTGCGGCTGTCAGGGGTATGGTCGCTTCAGTTTAATTTTGTCGGTTTTGGATTATAAAATTAATATTGTAAATCTTTTACTCCATTATTTATTATTGGAACAATAAATCTACTAACCCGTATACCTACCTAGCACAAGGTCGAGTAGCCTTCAATAAAAAAAGTCACTTCTATGCTTAAGAATGGTTAATTTAGAAATTTGCAAAAGATTGTTAAAGTTTGGAGATCGGCGCTATACGGGTGCGAAACATGGACGGTAGAAAAGAAAAAGTTAACAGCGTTGGAAATATGGTGTTACAGGCGAATGATGAGGATACCGTGGATAGAGAAGGTTTTGAAATGAAGAGGTATTAGAAAAAACAGATGAACAGCGGATTTTGTGGAAGTCGATAAGAAGTAGGCGAGGTAGATTGGTAGGACACCTTCTCAGGCACGAAGGGCTAGTCAGATATTAGAGGCAGAAACAGGAGTTAAGAGGAGTAGAGGAAGACCTAGAGTAAATTACTGTTCACAAATAGTTAAGAATATGGGGTGTTCTAATTTTAAGGAAATGCGAAGATTAGCTCAGAATAGGAAAGAGTGGAGGTGCATGTCCAATCAGCCTTAGGACTGACGACCTTATGATGATGATGGTCTTCAATGCGGGAAGTGAAGGCGGTTTCATACCTGAAGCCGGCCTAATTTTTTTGACAAAGTCAAAAAATTTAGATTACTATGACAGTGTGAATTCCGAAAATTTTGAGAGATGTTTCACGAAATTATTGCCAAAATTAGAAGAACCTTCGCTCATAATAGTTCATAAAACCCCGCCTGTTCATTTATTTCCAGTTTTCATGTTATGCTTATTTTGACTGTTATTGAAGTATATTAATTATTTTTGACAAGAGGTAACCAGTGTTACGAAACTTATAGAAAGGGTATAGGTACGGATGTTGAAAGTTACGGAAATTCTGTGATAAGTATAAGCTATGCCTCAATTTCATCTGAACTGGTAGAGTGCTTGATAAAAATCGCTTCAATAGTAATCTTCATGGCGAGGCCAATTACCATGTTCTAAAAGAGTCACTCAAATGATCGGAACGTTGACATTCAATTTATTTCAGGAGTAGTTCCATTGATATTTCCGTCTTCCCTTATACTTAGCAAAACTTTTTTGAAAGCTGGCATGTAAAACGTCTTTTCTATTTATATTTTTTGAGATTAACCCCGATCCTTTAGAATTCCATTTCTGGAAGATATTACATTCACTACCACCAAGAGAACCTATTTTCTTATAGTCTTGTTTTAATTAATAATAAAATTCTAAAACTGAATACATGATAAATTCTCAAAATCAAGTACTTTTCAATTGAGAAACGATTCAATAGAAAAGGGATTGGATTGCTATAAATCAAGTACAATTTGATGTAAATTAAATTTATCATTTATTATTTATCACACAGGTAATCTATATAAACAAAATGTTCGTCAATGTGCGCACATCAAAATTATTATAATACTGATATTCCTATTTAGTATCAATTTATTAAAATTCTCATATGCGTAGATGGTAACTATGCCCTTAACGCCTTCAAACAGAAGGGAAGTTCCTAATTTTGTTGCGACATTTGGATAGATTCAGCTGGTATGCAGATATGAGCATAGTAAACACGTTTACTAAGGTATTTCAGGGAAAATAAGTATAGCAATATTATCCGACTCAGCTATCGTATTTTAGTAAATCCACAACCCTGCATTGTGGAGTACAAAGGAGTAATTTAACACGAGGTGTTTTATATGAAATATGTAAATTACATGTATTTCATTTTTAAAAAAAGTATTACTGATCACAAAACCCATTCTAATTTACAAATTATAAATGTATATTAATTTTCAAATTCTTCTTTATAAAAAATGTCGTTACTGGCGAGCGATATCAACGATATACATGGATTTCATTTATTAAGACAAATATACAAAATTAAAACTCTCTTTATGATTACAGTATCTATTATTTTTATCGGGATAATTCATATCAGTAGTACCTTCAAATTTTAGACAAGAGAAAAGTATTTTAGACAAGAGAAAAGTATAAGATTCTGATACTACTAGGACAGTGATTCCGAACCTGGGGGTAATTACCCCCGCGGAGTAAATCAATAATTCTGTGGGGGTAACAAAGAATCTAATAATTAAGACCTAATGTGATAAAATATAGCTAGATAGTAAAAATATAAAATTATAGATGTGTCGATGTTATGAATATCGAACCAAACAAGATCACATTGAAAACTTCTGTGTTTCGGCATTTATCTGCAACAATAAACTCAGTGAAACAACATTTTCCGGATATGGATAATCGTCAGTCCAGTTCTTGGATATTAAGATGATTTACTACGGATGATAACATTATTAAAAATGAAGATGTAGCGGCCAAAGTAGAATATCTAGGATACTACTTGCGGAGTAGAATTTCAAAATTATAATTTTAGCACATTTTGGCGAAAATCTGGTGCCAAATATCCTGCTCTAGCTAACGTAGCTTTAAAAATGCCAATACCCTCATCAATCAGTTTTCCTAATAGATCACAGGAGTAACAGTATTAAAAGGGTTAGGAACCACTGTACTAGGAGCTAAGTATTCTCCTTTAATACCATTTTCTGTCTCCAGGATAGTCATATTAATCACATAAAAGAACTTAGGTATGTCTAGAAAACAAATTCAAATTAAAATTTTATGGAAAAATTAGGTAATGAGATATTTAGTACACTATTAATACGTTTTGCGCACAGCATAGAACGTATAGATATACTCTCAGATAAGATTGATGACTTTACTCGTGAGGGTTGCTAATTTTGTTTCCGTGTGAGGGCTGCACTGATTGAGTGAATATTAACTTAGTTTTAGAAATGATTTTGCCTCAGAGGCTTAATACTTCTAAAATGGTAGTAATAAGATTGACGTAATTACAAGGGAAATGATTAATGTCAAGCATAATTCAGCAACGACTCTGTCGGGCGACTAACTACCTATCTAATTACTGTTTACGCGTAGGAGCTATTGGGAGCTGAAAAATGCAAGCGAATATTCAAAACATTAGAGATAAATTTTTATAATACCTTCAAACAGTGTTACAAAATTAATGGCTTTGACACTAACGACTTTAATAGGTGATATATTGCACTTCCTTATAAAATTAGAAGGCTTCGTATTCAAATTAAGTTACATCTTCAACTTAAAAATTATTGATGAGCAAAGCGAAACCAAGGCCAAGACTGTTCCAATTTTGACTTTAGTCTTGACCTTACTTAAATACTTTTAGTCTTGGTCTTGGTCTTGCGTGTTAAGTCTTGGTCTTACTCTTTTAATCTGATACTTATGTATTTTTTAATCATTGTCATAAGCACAAATTTTTCTATTTACCGATACAACAGTTACTTTAAATTTTAAATGCTGAAATTTTCTATCATACATGCGAGCTTGTCATGACTTTTAAAGAAAATAGTACCAATAGTTGTGACAGTTACGAAAATTCGAGAACTTGCCCTTCCTCCAACGCATAAATTGACCTTTTAGCGAATAAAATATAATACAAGGTACTTGAAACACCTCTAGAATAAAGAACACTTACTCTGAGGTCATTCTTGTAGATCCCTTCTTTCTTTCTTTCTTTCTTATTTTACATATTGAGTGTTAAAATCTAGTACAGTAAAAGTTCCTTATTCACAGTTTCATTATTCGCGGGTGAAAAAATTGCAACCCAGTTCCTGTATTCGCGGCTAAATATTTCATTATTCGCGGATGCAATCGGTAAACAGAAAAGGATTCGGTGCCATTTATTAAGAGGATTGACCGCAACAGACCGCTCGTGATTACTGCGAATTTTTCCGAAAATATGGGTTTCTATTCTAAACATTGTGATTTAACGTTGCGAGATAAATATCTGATTTTTTGTATGGTAATAGACAAAGGTTCACACTAACTCGGCACGTTTTTAGTTTTCACTAATATGTCCATTAATAGCTTTTACAAGTGCTTAAAGTTAATGCTTCTTGTAGGACACGTATTT